CCTACTAGGAGCAAGGACGCTTCTAGGGGCTCCTGGCCTTACTACTACAAGGACGCTACTAAGGGCTCCTGACATCCTTACTAGGAGCAAGGACAGGACGCTACTAGGGGCTCCTGGCATCCCTACTAGGAGCAAGGACACTACTAGGGGCTCCTGGCCTTACTACTAGGAACAAGGACGCTACTAGGGGCTCCTGGCATCCCTACTAGGAGCAAGGACGCTACTAGGGGCTCCTGGCCTTACTATATACTAGGAACAAGGTGAGCATGGCCAAACAACACTTCAAGCGCAGGTTGTTTTGTCATAACCAGTTCACTTCGCAGCTGAGCTGAAACGGAAGAAACAAAACACCGATCAGGCACGCAACCTGTCGGAGCCTTGAATGGATCAGTCCTGCTTCTTGGCTTCAGCTTCTCAGCTGCCTTTGGGCCCCACATAGGGGCTGTGATGCCAAATGCAAAGGGACCGTTTCAACATCTTTTCTTCTCAATCCAGTTTCCCAATGTCTCTGCTCTTGGAGTCTCAGATGTTGGTGAAGAATTTGGTCCTTTCATGCCTTTTCACTTGCTTTGGATCCATTGGGCTTCAATTGACCAGCCTTCTCCACGTCTTTGCGATAGCGCGCGTTCTCGCGCTCAGTCTGCGTGGTCATAAGAACCTTCAAAATTCCAGCATGGAAACTAGCTTGGATGAGATCGAGAAAAAGGATCCTCAACAATTGTGATGGATTCTCACTTCTCCTGCATCCTAACAGGACCCTTTTCCATTTCAGTAGAGAGGCAGGTTCCACCATGTTCCTTGCTTTTGCTTGCAAAGGTCTGTTTAAATGCACCACTGCACCACTTCCCCGGCTCAAAGGACCGACACTTCCCAGGCCTTCTTGAAGTTTTCGTTGGGATCCGCTTGAGGTCGGTAGGTGGGCTTCGGCCTAGGGACTGCTCTTCGCATGCCGATGTCCATGGATGTGCACGATGGGTGTTACCAAGTGCCAGACCCAGCTTTGCTGACTGTAAGTGTCTGCCCGTCCAGGGTCTTGCCATCCATAGCCCTTGGCTGATGCTAAAAGCGTTCAGTCGAATTGGTGGTTGCAACCACCGCCCTCAAGTGTTCGCCGCGACTTTTGAGCGACACTCCTTTAACCAAACATCCATGACTTACATCCTACACACCAAACACCAGTCCGAAGCCTCTACTCTACCAAGCAAAAAAAGGCAAGGCAAAATGAACCATGCGGCCGACCCACACCAATTTTGTCAAATCATGTCAAATCCTCATACTTAGTTTCAAACAAGATGGCACAATCTCGCACAGTTGAATGGCTATGTTCTCCAAGCGGTCATTACAAAGCAATATTTGGTGCCATCATTATCAAAAGCTTCCCTGCAAGCCCGCACCAAGGGGCTCCAAGGCATCTTGCGCATCCGCCTTCTCCGAGAAGGCCTGGAGTGGAGTGCTTCGTCTCATCTTATATTCATCGTAAATTGAGATAGGATGAGGCAGCTGCTCGCTGTTCTCTGAGAAACATGTGCAAATCTACTACCATGAGACTGGGATAAGCTTCTTTCTCGCCAAACGGTGGGTTGATGTGATTCCAGGAATGGACAATTTGTGGCAATGGCCATGGAACCATGTGCCGGTTTCCTACACTGATCACTTGCAAGTTTAGATGAACTGGAGATGGGGTTGTACGCCCAAGAAATTACGAAACGGACGCAAAGCAGCCAACTCAACTCCAACTCCCGCCATGGCAAGCTTGCCGAGGTCTATGCTATGAAAGCCAGATTGGGCTTTGGAGTTTCGATCTGGAGGATATGTCCTCAAAAAACAGGTTTGGATCTTTTGCACGATCAAACCACTGTCAAGGAGCGTCTCTGAGGCTGCTACCGTATTCCTGGAAGGCTCCCTGCAGGGTAGTCTTCTTCAGGCCCCTGAGCTTTCGGTCGGTTTATCTCAGTGGAATCTGGACAGCCAATAGATCCAATAGCCACTCTTCTGAGGACGCGACTTGCCATGGCTGGCAGACCTGATCTTATCATAAGTTGACCTTCAAAATTAAAAAATCAAAGTCCAAGCGCTCGGCACACAAAGGCGGTGTCCTTCATTATAGCCGCCAGGAAAAGCACCCTGCGACGGAGGGATAGCCTACCTCCCACTCTCTCCCTTCCTTTGGCTTCACTGTGCACGCCAAGAGCAAGCAATTCTTCTACATTGCTAGCAGGCTTCCCTCCAGCCTTTGACATGGGAGAACCTAAGCAAGCGGCTCTGTTGACGTGGTTTGGAGCGACGGGCTTGAAGGCCTTCTGGGTCGATGCAAGAAATCCTACGGTCCTTTGCTTCGTCCCTTCTCAGGTCCACAAAGTCTCCAGCTCGAGGAATATTCCCCGGCCCAGCTGCTTTCAGCACATGGCCCCGGAGGCACTCACGGATTGTGAAGCTGCGGTATCCTGTTCTGTGCGCTATGCCAGCAGCATCTAGTGACCTATTTGCAATGGAGCTGTGATGGTTGCTCTAATCTTGAAAGGTTCAGCCTTTGTCAATTTTAGACTTGCAAGGCGAATCTTGCATGTACAAATGGCGTGGTTGCAAGGGGGTGCATTTAGCATTGACGTCCTCGCACTTGCTCTGTGTATTCAACCAAGCGCCTTTTGAGGCAAGCAGGTGCAAATTCGGATGTTGCCATCTCAAGCACCATGCATTTGCTCGGCCGTTGATGTCAATATTCATGTCAATCTATGATGATAAAAACACACACACTTCGAACTTTGATTTTCAGTTAATGCAATCTCCCGAGGAAA